GAGGCAAGCCCTAACTTCAAATCATCAAGGCCATGGGAAAACAGAAAGACCAGCGAACACATTGCGCCAAGAATAGAAAGCAACACGAAAAGGACTGAACAGCAATTATGTAGAACTGGCAAAGAAGGTCCAGTACAGAGTTTGTTGCAAAATATTGATCGGCAACGCCATTAGAGGTAACAGGTGTACGTAAGCAAGTAATTAATCTCAGCTGAAATATCGTTAACATCCATAAGGCATTTGACAGGTGTTTTGTCGATCCCATCAAGGATTAAAATGTGAACTTTAAATTTTAGCCAATTACAAAAAATTGTTCACTGTTAGTTGGCATAATTCTTCAACAAATATGGTTTACAGAAAATGTTTTCTTTTGTTGTTGTTGCTGCCTAATTGTACATTCTCTAAATTCTGAGCTACTTTGAACTGTTAGTATATTCATTCAATATCCAACTATTGGTCAATTCCTATTGGTCAATATTATGGCCGTCCTAAATATCACTGTTGTCTCCCATTGGTCATCCTGACTATCAATGTCACTTCAAATGTTGTCTCCTATTGGTTGTCCTAACTCTCAATGTCACAGACTTCAATGTTGCTCCCTATTCGACCTAACTGTATAAATACGCATCATTTATAACATTCGATGACCCGGATCCAGGATCCTGACTCTCTTCTGGACTCGGGCCTCGTACTCTCTGAACGCCTGTAGAATACACGTTCTACTTCATATCAAGTCTTCTTTGTTTACTCAGTCGGGGTTTGGGATCCTCGATCCTCGCCCAGGTTTTTCGACTAGGGTAAACTCGTAATCGTTCAAGCGTATCAAGTTGACGTGTTTACGTGCATGCGTAACACTTTGATGAACATCAACAATCTATTTTACTCTTTTTATTTTCTTCAATCTTCTATACACTAACTGTGTTAGCTTTCATGGGATATCGATCGGTTAGAAGAGAATTTACGCAATTATTTGAATTGTCTTGAATTAGAAAAATCAGTTAGAATTATAAGTAAGTAAATTGTTTTAGTAAAATTTCACTTTCTTGTTTTTGATATGAAGCAGTAATCGAACCCAGGATCTTTAGTTTCACGGATGGATGCTAAACCATTACACCAAACACTAAGCTGTCATCCCAAGGTGTTAATGTTGTCTAACTGTAAGGTATTGGCGCGACCATCTGTTGTCCTTGGTCGGTAACTAACAACTGCCTTTTACGCGACAGGGTTGAATTTCATTAGTCATTAACACCGTCGAATGCTGTCGGCTTTGTGGTCTAGAGGTCAAGTGTTCGAGACCAAAGGTCTTGGGTTCGACCTCCGTGAGCGGGGCCGTGCGTATGCACCATTGATGAGTTGCGTATTAAGATGAAACGGTTTTCCAGGATGCTTCCAGAAGATAGGTAAGAAGAAAGATAGTAGTGAGCAAAACAAAACATGGTATAAGTTCATATAGTTGGGCCTCCGCTCTACTGTCGCAAGCAGTAGTTGTAGAAACTCTGCTGCAACCCCCCCTGGGGCTACTGTCGGTCCCAAGCCCGAATAAAGGAGGAGGGTTGGGAATAGGTTTGGCAACTCCATTCTGTAGAAAACTAACTCGCTAAACAAAGCTAACCAGTTAGAATAATTTAAATTCTGCTCTGGGATATAGAAGGTCTCCATTCAGGAGAGTTATGACGTGCCTCATAATGAAACCCGAGTTCCCTCGGAAGTCACAAGACCGATGCCCCTTCTGGCAACCAGAACAACCATTTCTTTTAGGTACATTGAATGTCCGAACATCGTGGTAGACTGGAAGATTATTCCAAGTTGCTGCAGAAATGAAAAGATACAACCTGGAAGCGCTTGAAATCAGTGAAATGCATTGGACGTAAGTTGAACAACTAAGACTAGCCTCAGGAGATTTGCTGTTGTACTCTGTGTTCATTAAGAAGAAAACGCTTCAAATGCACAAGCGTTTGCACTAATGCTGTCCAAACAAGCACAGTTGGACAGTACTATAGAAGAAGGCCCAGAATGGAATAGACTAAAAAATGATAGTCACCAGCCTATATTCCATTAGGGGGTAACAGGCGTAAGGAGATGAACACTTTATTATCAAAAATAGCATTTGGAAACTTCTAATGTAAACGTGTAACAGTTTCATTTCATTCATTTGTCTCATTGTGATCAACGCTGAGCCATGATAAATAACTGTGACCATTACTGATTTATCGCTTTCATCGTACACTGTTCAACCAAGTAGTCTACATCTACTAGCGAGTACAATTTGAAGTTGACAATGTCAGTGACAGTCTACCGTTTTTACTTCAACTCAACCAGTAATGTTCAGTTGTTTGTTTCGGTTCTCTGCCAGTCAACCTTGTTGATCAATAAGGTCTAGTGGACGCCTTAAAGTAGTGACAACTGTCTGTAAAATGTTGCATGAATTTTTTTTGGGGATGGGGTGTGGCTTTTTCGCATTAAAGTTGCTGATACATTTTTTATTTGTTTGAATGGCTGATATGTTCGTCACTAGGTACGCTTGAAACTATTACGAGTTCAGCTTAGTCGATAAACGCGAACGAGACAATGAACCAGCGTCCAGATAGGCTACCTTGAATCCCAAGCTGTAAAACAGAAGGCTTTGTAAGCGTAGAAAGTATATTCCACAAACATCCAGCAATCACACAATACAATCAAGCGCACAACTCTCGTTTATTTATACATCATAGAAACGTCCTTGGGGCAGTAACGAAAATAACACACTAAAATACACTTCAACCAATGACAGCCATGGATTTCCCGTGGTGGTAAATGAAATCTCAAGGTCAACTGATCAGCCCATGGTGGCATATGTGAAATCCAAAATAAGGCATTTATCAAGCGAGTTCTTGGGGATCTAACATCCCCAACAATGGTATGCCTTTGTATACCAATTGCGTGTGCATAATAGTAGGATCGCAGATCTCATTCATATAAAACACTTGACTTTATTGTTATTTCTGTGACAGATTAATATCATTACTCTGTGTATGTTTCATTTTTTTCTATGAAAAATTCCTTCTACTTACAGATAACTTCATTACATCGGGTGAAATTCACTGTCCACCAACTGGTGAACGTTTTCTCTTAGATATTTCTCAATATTATACACCTATTGACAGAGTTGGAAGACATCATCAAGTAAAAGAAGGCATTGCCGAAGCGGAAGATGATACTATTGACGATGCAGTCGATGATATGTTAAGTACGGAAGAGAAAATCAAAAGTGGCAAAGAACTTCATATTTGAATTATGATGCCATACACACCACTTGTGATCATGAACTAATTAACTAACTAACTGATGAACTCCTAATCTGTTTGTAGACAGTGCGTGTGTGCATGTGTACATATTGTGTGTTGATAAAATACACTATTTTCTCAATTATTACTTACTTACTTACTTACGCCTGTTACCCCCAATGGAGCATAGGCTGCCCACCAGTTTTCTCCAACCAACTCTGTCCTGAGCTTCCCTCTCCAGTTCTGTCCAATGTTTGTTCATTCCTCTCATATCTTTCTCTATTTCTCGGCGTAATGTGTTCTTTGGCCTTCCTCTTTTCTTTTCGCCTTCAGGGTTCTATGTGAGGGCTTGTCTTGTGATGCAGTTAGGTGCTTTTCGTAGTGTGTGTCCTATCCACTTCCACCACTTCTTCCTGATTTCCTCCTCCACTGGAATCTGGTTTGTTCTCTCCCACAGTTCGTTGTTGCTGATGGTGTCTGGCCAACGAATCTGAAGTATTTTGCGTAGACAACTGTTCATAAATACTTGTATCTTGTGGATGATGGTTTTCGTAGTTCTCCAAGTTTCCTATCCATACAGTAGAACTGTCTTCACATTTGTATTGAAAATGCTGATTTTGGTTTTGGTTGAAAGTTGTTTGGAGTTCCAGATATTTCTAACTGTAGAAATGCAGCCCTTGTTTTGCCAATCCGCGCCCTCATATCTGCATCGGATCCACCTTGATTGTCGATGATGCTGCCCAGATATGTAAAGGTGTTAACGTTCTCCAAGGCATCTCGATCAAGAGTGATTTGGTTGGTGCATGTTGTGCTGCATCGGAGAATTTCGCTTTTTCCTTTATGTATGTTTAGACCTACTGCTGCTGCAGAGGCTGCTGCCACACTGGTCTTCTTCTCTTGCATTTGTTGTTGCGTGTGCGATAGAAGAGCCAGACAATCTGCAAAGTCCAGATCGTCCAGTTGCGTCCTAACTGTCCAGTTGATACCGTGCTTCCCTCCAGATGTTGAAGTTTTCAGTCGATGACCAGGAGGAAGAGAAAGGGTGAGAGTAAGCAACCTTGCCTGACACCGGTCTTCACCTCAAAAGGGTCTGTTAGCTGTCCTTCGTGTACGATTTTGCAGTTGAATCCTATCCTTAAAACTGTTTAATGAAAATACTTTTTTAGACTTGATTAGGTTTTCATTGAAATCTTGAACCAGTTCAAGTTTGACCATCGTTAAAGAAAAATGTGGAAGCACTGAATGACTGTTTTGTTCTAGTACAAGCGAGAGAGACTCTTCAACCTCTGTGCACATATTCACGATTTGGCATGCAAGGATCGAACTTTATAAACGGTCGGTCTCATCGAAATAGCTATTCAGAGTTGATCACCTGACTCGCTTTTAAACCTGTTTAGGTTTGCATTCAATATATATCAGACAGATCATCTATCAGCCTACATGTAGATAGACAGACAGACAGACACAACACACAACTTCGTACGTATGTACATCAATCAGTTCAGGTTGCCATACCACATCAGCACAGAGACGCAGCTGTCAGTTCAAATCACATTGTGGTAGAGATAGTAGAAGTATTAGCAGTAATGGAGAAGATTAGGGTTCGAAGATATGATTTGAGAAGTATAATTCAGTGAGATAAAGTTAGAAAGAGAAAGATAGAGATGATGAGGAATTCAGAAGGTTAGAATTTGAGAGAACACAAAGAGTGGATGCACCTGGCGCTATTGCAAACGATTCTGAGCCATGTCGTTCAAGGTCTCTAACCATTGGTGACTGTCGTCTCGTGGACCCCAGTCAGGTAGTCTACGTCCATCAACATGACTCAGTCGACTTGTCAGTTACTTCATGGATTTCTGCCATGTTTTGGTTTGGCCGCCCTTAGCTTTCTTCCAACCTACTCCTACACCACAAAACATAGCTCGTTGAGGCAGTCGGTGGTCAAGCATACGTAACACATGTCCCAACCACCTACATATTAGGTTAATGTAGTAAAAAGTTACAAATGAAAAATTTGATTATCAAGTATACTTTTATATGACGAGAAATGGAATCGTTTATACATCACAAGGCTTGACTTAGTTATCCAAATACTCAATTGAGAAATAGATTATATCAGAGCAAGAGTTTGTTTGCATAAATGAAAAGTAGTCAACAAAACGGAATTAATTTTCGAATGTAAGGTGTGTTATGAGGCTTAGTGTAGTTGACTGTCTGTCTGTGGTCATTAATCAATCACGGGTCAGTTCCATTAAATGTATAGGTAATAAATGACTCTACAGGAGGTATAGGCTGTGTTCTAACCAGGTGGCGTTTCTGGAAAGAGTATTCTTTCAAGGCACACAAGTTCACCGCGTGGATATGTTTTGTGGCGAGTCATAGCCCTGAAGATCTTCCTACAAGATTGTTATGCTCGTTGCTTGCTATGCTTGAACTATTACGGATTCACCTTAGCCGATAAACGAGAACGAGACAATGAATCAGTGACACGGTAGGCTACTCTGATCCGTTGCCTCAACTAACTGAAGAAAAAGTCCTGATATGGCGTGGAAAGCGTATTTGACAAACACCTAGCAAACTCAATAATCTCAAGCACACAAATCGCGTTTATTTATACATCATAGTAACCTCCTTGGGAGAGTCACAAAAATAGCACACTAAAATAACACATCAACCAATCATAGCCAAGAATTTTCTTGGTGGGAAATGTGATCTCAAGATCAACTGATCAGCCCATGAATAAAATCCGAAATAAAGACATTTATCAAGCGAGTTCTGGGGATCAAATTTCCCCAGAAAATATATTTCAGAGTAAGAAAAGAAATTGAATTTTCGATTTAGCTTTTATGCTTATCTGTCTCACATTTAAAAACAATGTTTTACGATTGTGAACACTAATGCGAATACATATTGAAATCATCAATCAATCATTATCAGAATACCTTTAGAATCCTCTAAGCACTGAACGGTCGTTTCGTTCCCGTAATCAAGGACGTTGCAGGATTCGGACACAGGACCTTCGATCCGGCGCGCAAACGCCTAACATCTGGGCCGGCATCTAACGGAGTTAATGTCTAACTACGGTCAATCTACAGAACTCCGAGAATTACCTCACGAAGCTATTCACCACTAATGAGCACATAATACGAATGTTAAGAGTTTGGAGAAAATCAACAGAAACCCGTGAACTTATCTGTTTGCACTAATTAGTATTCAACAGCAGAGTGTATCTGCAAGCTTAAAGGAATCAATGCTTCTTGTGGGATTAGAACTTACATTTTCGAGTGTAACAGTTATAGATATTGCAAACTAAACTATTCCAGTTGCGGCAGACCGCAGAACAATTAATTGGCTATTTATTAGCGTCCTACAGCATTCTCATATGGTCGTCAGTGCTTATTGAATTTTATCAATCAGTTTGCAACTAGTCAAGATCATTGTTAGACCATAATTAGAAAACTGGAAACATTGGACAGCTGTTTAGTCCTAGTGTGAGACTCATATATGCTCACTAGTGACTAGCTTAGTGAGGGAATTCTCGGAGTTTTAGTGAGGAACCGTGACTGGTGGAGTTCAGCCGTGTCAGGTATGAGGCAGTTACTCGCTGAAGACAAAGAGTGGGAATGTGCAGTACTGTGGATTGACTGAAGTCAGACATTACAATTACTGAACGATGGTTCAGTGGTGTATAGGTTTGGCGTTCGCGTACGAGACTAACTTTCCCAGATCTGATTCCCGAGAAAGGAGATCGTGGGTGCGCTCTTCTGATGAGTTACCAACTAGGACGGAATGGCCATCCAGTGGTTCCAGATTCCTGACAGTGGTCTAACAACAATGATCAATTCATCGTTTCAGTGAAACTGAACAGTCTCCACAACCCCTATAACGAATAATGTTATTTTCATCGATATCCTCATCAACCTTTGCCCTCCAATATACAGGAATATCTATATGAAAATACTAAACCAGTCAAGACAATTTACTATGAGTCTATAATCACAATGAAATAGAGATTACGTAACTACACATAACAGGAACAAGTACAAGGTTGAACATATATACTGGGGTTGACTGTACGAATTCCTATGGCTTCTGCTATTTGTAAGAGACGGGATGGAACTCCGTTGGGAAATGATTGAGGTATACAATCGATTAGCAGGAGCGATTCGGTTTTAGTTATATTGTGACCACTAACAATCAGATGGGCTAAGATGGTGCAACGTGTTGTTTTTCTACGACCCTTCCCGGACCATGCTGAGAGATGTTCACGCATTCGTTGGTTAAAACGCCTGATAAGAGGTCCAATATAGCTAGTACCACAGGACCAGCTGAATTTATCAATACATATTGAGTAGGCTAATTCAGCAAAGTTATACTTCGTTTGAGAATAGATTTCATTGGTCGACTAGAGAATGTCAACGCAAGAGTGGCTGCGTAGAATGTCCTACAAATTACCATCTCCCAACTTTTATGCAGATCGTCACTAGCCACATTCCGTTTGAATTGTAGTTTAAGGCATAAAGGCTTCTTTTGAATGGTCAAAGTCTTCGACTCGTTTTTCACAGTATTTCTGTCCACATTCTTTTTTATTTAAAAACGCACTGAAGTAACTGATCTCAATCAGTAAGATGTTAATAAATTCTAGCTCCTTCCTAAAAGTATCCACTGGAATGGTCATTTTTACTTTGCTTGTGAGATATCTAACCTAATTTCTTTTGTAGCGGATAAAACTACAAAAGTGTGTATATTCACAAGTAGTGGAACTGTTTCTAAACATACTTAAAACGCAATCACTCCGTTTATTTAGTGAAATGTCAAGGAAGTTCATTGTTATGTCATACTCGTCCTAATTTATGAAAGTGATTGTGCAGTGTACACTACTGAACTGTTTTAGTTGTTTTTAATTAGTATTCTGATTTACGATAATGAATGTATCATCGTTGTAGCAACAGTTCAGATCTAGTTTCTTAGCAGCCTCAATAAAGGTTTTATTTAATAACTTCGCTAGAAAGAAACCAGCTAAAATTTGGTCTAAAGTTGAACTCATATCCATTCTGTCCATTTGTCTATAAGAAATATTGTTGAAGACGAAATGGACGTTCAGACTACACCTGAAGCGCAACTCTTTCAGACTTTATCATCAGGAAAGTCAATGTTGTTTTGGTTTTCTGATATTTGCTTGTGTATAAACTCAGTGGTCTCGATTGGTGATACGTTAGTAAACAAAGATACGTTATCTAGTGAGATCATATTTTTCATACTAACATTCATATTTTCCTCTTTGGAAATGAAGTCGAAAACCTCTTTTTAACGCTCTTTCTTACGACTGAATTGTTCAGAAGCTCTTGTAGTGGCTGCGTAAACTCGAAATACGGCCCACCAGTTTAGTGACCCGCGATTTGATTTCAATCTGGACAAATGTTTGGAGATGTTATGAAATAAATCCTTCCTTCATTTTCCGTATATCTCATCCTTAGGAGAACCCCATTTGTGTGACGGTAATAATAAGAAGCCGAGTAAGGATTCAGTTAGATGAGTTTATTTCATGCAATTGTTCATTCAGACAGACATAAGAATATAAAGCTTGAAACTATTTAGTAAGCTAACTAAACATGCCCACACACACTCAAACAAAAACAACCAAGGTATAAGCCAATCAGTGACAAGGTCGAAAAATGTGTGAGCAACTTCGGAAGAATGGATTTTGCATTACGGAGTTGTGAAGATTGTTAAGTTACACATTTTTGAAACCATGAACCGATCAATGTTAGACCACCATTAGAAACCTGGAAGCATGGGACGGCCGTTTCGTCCTGGTATGGGACTCCTCAGTGACAGTGCGCATCCACGACTCCTGCACCCCGCAGGATTCGAACCCAGGACCTTCAGTATTGTGAGCGAACGCCCTAACCGATAGAACACTAAGCCGGTGTCTAACGGTGTTAATGTCTAACTTGATCAAATTCATGGAGTTGCGCAACCTCATACACAGTCTTCGGTCAGGGCGTTCGCTCACAATAGTGAAGGTCCTGGGTTCGAATCCTGCGGGGTGCAGGAGTCGTGGATGCGCACTGTCACTGAGGAGTTCCATGCCAGGACGAAACGGCCGTCCCATGCCTCCAGGTTTCTAATGGTGGTCTAACATTGATCGGTTCATGGTTTCAAAAAAGAATGGATTTGTTGATTTGTTCAATGTCTGTGGCAAGCCATTCGAGCTTGAAATGTTAGTTTTCAGTTTAGTGATAAGCAGAATTATATGTGATTCATGAATTTCGGGTAAACTATTCAGTTGTGATGTACTTGTTCCAGTCGGTTTAGGTGGATCATAAAGGTCTGACGAGATTATCGTTTTTTGATTTGTTAGTTCCTTTAGAGAATCAGCCAACTGTTTCTCTACTTCTCGACTGATTTCTTTTACAACTATTTTATTTATTATTGTGTTGGGGACGTTAGATCCCCAAAAATCACTTGGAAAAGGTCCTAGTTTTGTAATTTTATTCCAAAGACGATTATTTTAACCTTCAGCTCACATTTTCCACCCGGAAAATCCTTGACTGTCATTGGTTGATGGATTATTTTCAGTCAGTTGCAACGTAGAACTTCGTACGTAAGTACATCAGTTCATGTCGCCATACCACATCAGCATAGAAGTAATCAGAGAGGTTAGAATTAGAAGATATTATTCATGAAGTATGATTAAGTGAGATAAGTTTAGAAAGTAAAAACTAGAGGTGTTGAAGAACTCAGAAGATTAGGATTTGAGAGAACACAAAGAATAAATGCACCGGCGCCATTGCGAACGATTTTGAGCCATGTCATTCAAGGTCTCTAGCCATCGATTATTATCATCTCGCGGACCCCAACCAGGTAGTCGACAATTACCGACATGGCTAAGTCCACTCGTCAACGACTTCGTGGATATCTGCCATGTTTTGGTCTGGCCGCCCCTAGCTTTCTTCCAACCTATTCCTACACCACAAGGTTGGATGGATTATTTTAGTACGCTATTTTTTGACTCTCATCAAGGGCGTTACTATCATTGTATAATTAAGCTTGAGTTGTGTGCTTGTGGACCTCATGCTTTCTGGTTGCCTGTGGAATATATTTTTCTACGTCTCATCAAGACTTCTTCCTTTAGTTAGTAGGACTTAGGACAATCGGATTGGAATAGCCTATCATATCGCTGAATCATTGATCTTCATTCCGTTTACCGAGTAAGGTGAACTCGTAATCGTTTCAAACTTATCATATTATTAGTAGTACAATTATTTCCACCTTCAGGTTTTTTATGTCATTTTTTGACCTCTTTCCATTTACATTCTTCATCGTCCAACTAGTTCACGCTCTACTTATTACATAATCCGAATAATGTTTACTAATTATGATTTTAAGTCTGTTTATTCATGTTTGACCCTACTAATCGGATTGTTGAACTCTTGACAAGAACTTTTGGTTATCGTATTTTATTATTCTTGCCAGTACTAACAGTATACTTGTTATCCTACTCTAAACTCTTAATTTTACCTGTTATATGTAGTTACGTACTGACTTATAATGTATTTTAGAGTGTAAAGCCTGATGACGATCTAATTAAAAAAACATTAACATAACACTGTTCACTTCCAAGGTTATCTTCCTAAAACTAACTTAATATACAATTTGTATTATCAAAACTTGTCAAGAATGGAATTCACATGAAGAAGTCATTTATTTGTTCACAGTTTAATGAGGTAGTTCATTATTATCAATACACATATATTTATCTCATCTGATGAAATACTTCACTCTTACTATGAATTACTAGAAGAAGTTCCAGCCATATGGTAACGTCAATTTCATACGAAGAACAATTGACTTATTGAATCAAAGCATTACAAACTAAAACAAAACATTTGATTCGCTAGAAATTATCGATTTTCTTCAAGGTCATATAGATGGCAAAAAATGTTTGTATACAATACACCTATTGGCTACCTGTCAGTCCACCAATCACGTGTTGAAAATAAAAAACTCAGCAGAAATCGACTACAAATTATTTGGTGGACATAAAATTTCAGAGATTAATTCACAACACACAACACATTTAATCAAATGGTATATCGTAGTCCAACTGGAAATCCTCGGAGGAAATCTTCAAAACGATGTACTCTAACTGGTTATCATATTAGTACAGTGTTACTTTGTATCGGGATTATTGTATTAATATGTGGATTAGCTACAACGCGATTATTTCAAATATATATTTATGATCATCGTAATCCGTCGAAATTTCATCATTTATTTATACCAGTGGGTTTGTTCTCACTTAGTACACATGTTACATGGTTATCGATGGAACATACAGTTTTATCGGAAAATCTTGAAATCAACGGTAGGTGGTTTATTGATTTTTTTAAAAAATTATTATTGAGTCAGTCAGATAAAACGTAGAACTTCGTACGTACGTAAGTACATCAGTTCATGTTGCCATACCACATTATTAGCACACAGATGGATGCAATTGTCAATTCAAATCCAATAGTAGTAGTAGAGGTAGTAAAGGTATTAGAAGTGATCGGACAGGTTAGGATTAGAAAATATTATTCAAGAAGTATGATTTAGAGGGAAAAGTGTAGAAAGTGAAAACTAGAGGTGTTGAAGAATCCAGATGATTAGGATTTGACAGAACACAAAGAATCAATGCACCGGCGCCATTGCGAACGATTTTGAGCCATGTCATTCAGGTTATCTAACCATTGATGATTATCATTTCGTGGACCCTAACCAGGTGGTCGACAATTACCGACATGGCTAAGTCCACTTGTCAATGACTTCATGGATTTGTGCCATGTTTTGGTTTGGCCGCCCCTAGCTTTCTTCCAACCTTCTACTCCTACACTATAAAACAAAGCTCGTCGAGGCAGTCGGTGGTTAGGCATACATAGCACATGTCCCAACCAACTCAACTGATAAAGTTTCATTACTTCATCTATTGGTCTGCCATTCTTACCTAGCACCCGTTTCCTAATAACATCGTTGCTCACTCGGGTGTACCGGGATATACGAGCAATGCTTCGAAGACACCTATGACCGAAAACCAGTAACCTACAAATGTCTTCTACTCTCACTGGCCATGTTTCACAGCCATAAAGTTAGACGGAGCAAACTACTGTGCAGTACACTCGTCCTTTAGTCAGCAAACGGATATCTCGCCTAAGCCATAAGTGACACAAGTTGGCAAAAGCCAATCGAGCCTTCTGTATCTGTGCTAAGATTTCGTCAGTCACCAGGCCATCGGCACTGATGAGACTTCCAAGATATGTTATAGAGATTGTTGGTTGTTAGTTAGCCCATCACTAGAAACCTGAAAGTATTCGACGTCAGTTGTGGATGCTCACTGCTGAGGAGTCCTATACTAGGACGAAACAGCTGTCCAGTGCTTCTAGGTTTCTAATAGGGTGGTCTAACAATGATGGCTTAACGATTTCAAGGTGATTTTATCATGAGAGTAGTTATGAGAATTTATTGATCGACATGTAGTGTTGATTTAATCAATATTTAAAAGAATATCTCTTTCTTATCTTAAATATTCCTGTCTATTTTTGGTTCGTATAATTTGATAATCCTTTAAATTAAAAGGTCATCGATTTCTACACAATGTTACTTAAACTTGTTCATATGTTCGCCAATGTTCACACATACCATTTCAATCTGTATTACTTTAAAATCTTACCCTCAATTTCTAGTTGTTCTCAACATCACGGAATTGTATCGACTCATTTACTATTGATTTTTTTTAATGATTCTACCTTGTTTTGC